AAAGTTTTTTTCTTCTAGAAGTTTTTCTTCTTCAGAATCCAGACTTTGACCAGACTAGACAATGTACCATACCAAATAATTATTATGTTGAAATGGATTTTGTTGTAGATATACTCATTAAACCCCTATATTTGTACTTAATTGGGCTTGATTTTCTATCTCTTAAGTTAGTCAGATTTTCAACTCAAGATGCAGGAGAAGGCTTAGCAAAGTGCATTTCAGAAGTGTAAAATGCAATAGCTTCTCCTACGGATTTTGTATTTCCCCAAAACAAGTACAATATATATATACTCATTAATTAAAGTGATATATACTCACTAATTAAATGTAACAGTGAAAGATTTGCCAATATATTGGTATTGAAATAAAGAGCACATTTTAGTATCAAAGACACACAGTTCACCTGTCAATTTGATCATTTTCCGGGGGGTACGTTTATTCCGGAGGGTATGTTTATTAGACTTTGACGATTTGTCCGGGGGGTATGTTTATTCCGGGGGGTATGTTTATTAGGGACATGAGAGTAGGTTCATGATTTGACGTAGGGAGAGAATGCCCGCTATCTATGGGGGGTCTAGGGAAAATTTTGAATTTTCAAGCCTTTACAAATGCAATTTTCCACATTTTGAGAGGCAAATCATGGGGTGGACAGTGGTCCTTTGGGTGTTTTTATATTTTGCCCAAGAATTTTGTCAACTTTGTGTATCAAAGTTGTCGGATTGGTTTTAAAAAATTCTGTCACACGCTGCAACCGTCAGTAAGGAAAAGTTCCTGCAACTGATGGAAAAACAGGTGCTGGCTGGAGGCCTGGTTACACAGCAAGCAATCTAAAAATTCCTGAGCTTTAATTTACAAATGTCCAGGCATGTTTTGTCGTAACAAGAAAAATTTAACCAAGATCTTCAAGACGTGTAAAAATTCAACCACAGGTTCAGGTAACCCCACTGCACTGTAGATACATGTTGATGATTGCCAGCTTTTGGAATATCAAAAGATATTGTGTTATAATATAGGTGGTAGCAAAGTCCCACATCCATGGACGTTTTCCTCCTTTAAGGGCCTGGAAGTCACATTTGTGTTAGATTTGATATCCCAGCTCCATAAATTTCTCCATCTACTCTTGATAGGTGGTAGCATAGTCCTACATTGATGTTTGTCTCCTATAAGTGCATGCATGGAGGTAGAAAGGACATAACCTCCTTGGTGCATGGAAATCTACACTGTGCTAGATTATTATATCTTCGATATCCCAGCTCTATAAAATCTCGGTCTTGACTAACTGCATGCAGCAGGTGTTGCCTGTAGGCAGTAATTCCGATTGCGGCTCCTTCGGCGGTAATTGTTCCCCTCGGATCCCTCCTTCCTTCCCTTCACCCCAATATTGGGGCTAAATTAGACACAGGGGAGACGCACCACTTATCCAGGCCCAACCTCTGCCCCCAAACAAATTTCTGCAATTTTGGAACTTAAGTGAAGAGGGAGAAAATGTAGGAAATTCAATACAAATGTCTAGGAACTGATGGATTACTGAAAATTTCAGACTGTTATGAGCCATGCAGTGATTGGCATGCAGATACATTTGTAAGGGGGGTATGCATGTATTCATATACACGTTTGTCGTAAAGTAATACATGAATTATGATATCAGAACTCACGAAGGTACTATTTTTAGGGATAAATGACCAACTACTAGTATATAGGAATTTCTATACCGGTAGTACAAGGTAGCTAGGATTTGAACATTCTAACATAAGAAGAGAATTGTATTTGGTAGCAACAATTCTCCTTGCTGCTCTGTGAACATTGAACCATCGAGCTGCAGTGGCTTAATGCATGTACCAAGCCTATGCAGAAGAAAGAGAGTTAACCAGGTTTTGTTTTTGTTCCTTGTAGTCGGAGCCTGAAGTGTTTGTGGACAGGATTATCCCTGAAGATGACAACTTCCACTGTAAGTATCACATTTACATCTGTGTATAAATTCTACAAAATCTACCACATCACACTCTACACATAATTGCACTTCTTCCCACAACATACAAGTCTCTCTCTGTTTCTACTAGTAGCATGAATGCTCATCTGTGTTAGTACATAGGTAATGTGCTTTAATTGAATTCAAACCAACTCATGAACATGACAAGTATCTGTGGTCATACAACCCCATTACTGGAGTCATATGTTGGCAAGGTGATTATGTTAGTCATTCTGAAAAATGCGGTAGACATACACTGTAGCCAAAAATTCAGTTTTCTTTTGTCAGACTGTGATATTGAACCGGAAATCATCAAATTGCCATGTTAGTAGGTTCCATTACTCATGATTTCCAGTGGCCCTGGACTGCAAGACTTCACATTGATCCTCCTTATTGTTATTGTCTCCTTTAGTTCCAAGGTCAGAGCTGCGCCCAGAGGTCAGCCTGGATCTCCTTGATGACCTTGACCTTGAGCTAGACGACAGAAGATTACAGCCCAGAGAGCCGCGCCTCCAGAGAATATCCCAGGATGCTAATTGGCCGGGCAGGCCCCAGCCGGCAGCTGATTGGTTGGGCTGTGTGTCGAAGAAGTCGGGTCTGCCCAGGTGGCTGCTTAGCTCCACGCTGTTCCTGTCTGTGCTGGCCATCCTGTGGCTGTGCTGTGCCACCTCCGCAACAGCACAGGAACAGACACTCAAGCAGCCGGTATGTGACAGATGATCATTCTTCCTTACATTAGACAAAGTAAAATCTCTCTCAGTTTCAGCCACTAATAGAGCCAAATTTATTTTGTAAGCCATGTCAATATTTGGTGGGAAAAAGAAGGTGTTTGATACCAAATGTTGGAAAAAGAAGGTAGCAAAAGACATTTGGGTGAAACCATAATTGTAACATTTATCATCATCATCTAAATGCATGTGTTCATGTTCAGCACAAAAGATATTGAGTAGATAACTGGAAATTTGTGTTGTGTTGTGCTCTAACAGAAAATGAATGTTTGTTGTTTACAGAAGCTGAGTATCTATGGAGACATGGAGACCATAGTTGCCCAACAGAAGTCAGCACCAGGCAGCGTGGTGGAAGTACCAACACTGGAAACACCAGAAGAACAAGCCGGCCCCTTACCGGTCAAGATTAAGGTCGACCACTCCATGGTCTAGGCAACAGGAAACCGGAGGATTCCAGCTCGAACCGGTTTAGTGCATCATTGGTTTGGGCATAACAACAGTTGTTGGATATACAGTATCTTGTTAAACATGGAATCTGGACTACTTAGAGAGTGACTGCTGGTCAAAACTAGAATCTTCTGGTTAAATCTGGTTTAAACTGGTTGGAGATAACATGATTCTAAGGCTTTTCCATCCATCAAAGACTAAGTTGTGGGGCAACAGAGCCAGAACTGTGGTTAAATATGGTAGGAGGTTGTAGAGTTAAAACATGTCCATTTTGTAAGAGAAGTTCTACAAAAGTAGTTTAAGCCAGCTTAGACTACAAAAAGACTATTTGAAATAAGAACAAGTTTCCGGTTTTGTGTAAAAAAAAAATGCTGCCATCATTCATTATGATTGATGTAATGGAACCACATCCACATTGGGGCATGATATGAAATTTTAATGCTGAGCTGGGTGTGATGTAGATGTGTTAGCCTACCTGCAGCAATGGTACTAAACTGTCCACTTTTCAAAATACCTGGCCTCTGTGGTAAAAGTTGATTATAGGAGTCTGTAAGTTAACAGTAGAAGCTAGCAGTTACATCAGTCAGCAGTTGTGTTTTTTTAATTAATTGGATTAACTTGGCCAAATTAAGAACATTGGGTCTTGGTTCTAAAGCTCCTCACTGCTGCTGTCTGAAACACAGAAATGCACTCCAAAACTCTTAAAAAATACATTTTTCTTACTGATAAAAGACCTGTTTAAGAATTGGTATATAAGGGCTGCAGACCAAGGAATTTCTGTCAAAGGGAACTTTTAAGCCAAGGCATGTTTTGGGGATTCTGCTTTTACACTGTAAATTGTACAATGTAGGGAGATATGCCAATGGAAAATGGTGCAATGTTGTAATGTATTTTTTGTCCTTTTTAGCAAAAGACTTGCTGTTTTACTGGAATGTTTGACATGATGTGTAGGTTACCTATGGTAGATGATTCAGTAGTGTTGCCAAAATATTTCCTTGTTTGACTTAAGTTGTTTCAGCAGATGAAATAAGTGATTACTGGGTACCTATAGCTACTCAGCCTTTCAGCACTACTGTTTGGGAACAATGAACGAGTGATCTTCAGTAGGCTGAAACTACAGATTTCCCCCTTCTATTTCCTGTACATACAACCCTCCTGTCTTCTTCTAAAACAAAATATTCTCTCTTTGCTGTTTCTCCAAGAGGTTTGTCCAGTCCGGACAACTCTATTCTTTTCCTGTCTCATGGTACATGTGCTAACATTCACTGGATTACTTGGGGAAATTGTACAAAACTTATGCCAGAACCACATTATAAGCCATCCCCTTCACCATATATATATATGCCAGTCAGTCATCTAGAATCAGTCAGTGGACTTTCCCATTTCTGCGTAAGGGAGGATTCATTAGGAATTGTAGATTTGATCCTTTGTGTACATGTAGCCTCCGGCTATGTTGGATAATAATCATCACACACACTGTCGAATGTCAGAAACTGTAAATGTTAGATATGAAAATGTTTCTTGATTATGGGATAGTAACTGTTCTAGAATCCTAATGTTTCATTTCTGGCCTCAAATTGGCTCTTCTTTTCCCAGCATGCATCATATTTCCCAGCATGCATGAGGATCATGTCACATTGGTTCTGCAATTTATGGATTTTTCATCTTGAATATTTTCTTCATTTTAATTGTTTAGGGAGGAGCAGTTCCAAACTGCCGATTGGAAAGGGAGGTTTATTTATCGAATCAATATGAAATAGGGAAGATGATTGATGGGATATGACTTGTCTCTTCCCCTGGGGTAAAAATGGAATAGCCCAAATCAGTACAGTGCTGTTTCATGTACTTAATAGTGTAGGAAGTTTCTGATTTTTGTTGTCTCTGTACAATGGGGTTGGGTGGGGTGCTGATAGCATGTATAGTGCCATGACTTTCTTTCATAGATGCCAACAGTATACAGAAGTGTGTTCATGTCTTCTTGTACTACTATGATTAGGTTTTTGGACCTGAACTATTCAAATTTTAGGAGGGGGTGCAAAAAACATACCCCAAACCACTATTAGTTCTGCAATATTGTAGGATATAAAAACTACATGTATAGATATCATGTACATGCAGGTGTTGCTGTTGCACCCTTCGTGGCATTGTATTGTTCCTTTCTGTATTAAATGCTGCAATCATTATTTCTTCCTTAGAACTGTGTGCTAGTATCCTATCCTAACAATTTTAGCCTTGTCTTTTACGACCTATTCATGTGTTACTATACCAAGGGATTGTGTATCATTTTGAGTGATGGTGATTATGGACTTTTAATGTGTAAATTATCTTGGCAATGTCTGCCACATCATTTCACACTATGTATATCTCTTTCATCCATTGAGTATTCATTGTTGATTTTACTTCTGGGTTTTAAACCCCACATGTAGGAAGATGTCTTGTAAATAAGTGTCAGAAGTGTAAGTTATTCTGCTATGATAGGAACATGGGGTTGTATGAAACGGTGTCGGGCTTCATCTCAATAAAGAGACTTAAACTTTCCCAAGGGCTCAGTGTCCTTCATTACAAATGTGCATTTAAGATCACAACTTGTATGTGTACATGTACTGTATGTGTGCAAGCAAGCAAGCTACTAGTAACAAGAAATAGAAGACTGGAATGCTACACTGAATAGGATAAAGTGACTATATTTTAAGCCGTGTAGCATAAGACCTTGTAGCTAGGTCTGTTGATGTACATGCAAAACATACATACATGTACATGTTTGCGTGCAAGTCTACATGACTTGTGTGTTTGTTTGTGTGTGTGTGTGTGCAAGTGTGTGTGTGTGTGAAGTTGGGCTGTGTATGAGACAGTGAGCCTCCAGTTTTTGATAACATTAATACCACCCTCCCACCCCCTCTGCACCTCAGTTTGTCCGGATTATAACACTAAAAGCTTTCCTCATCACACCTGCTCCCCTCCCCAGCCTCAGTCAGGCCGGATCAGACATAATCCGCCCTAATCTCCAACTTCCCCCCTGGACTGCTTTCAGTCAGTCTCGCCTCAAAGCCAAGTTCTCTCACCAGAGGAAGGCCATGGTTCACCGACGTGCCACAATGTCTAGGAATTTGTTTACAAAGGGGAGGAATTTTCCGGGCGTGTAAAAGACCGCAATCGTGAAATGCCTGACGAAGTGTTTCCTATTCTTGGAATGCCTTTGCAAAGTTCAAAATAGAAAGAAGGGCACTGCTTTTAGCTAGGCCTCCCCCAAGTATGTGGCATTTTCCTGTGCTTTCAACATTGCATGAGGACGAACGGTGTAAACTTTTGACCTCAATGTACTTGTTGAAAATGAATTTCCTGGCATATATTTCATCTCTACATAGTACATGGCTGTAAATTGAGAGTCTTGAAGAATGTTGTCAGTGTCTTGATATCATTGGACGTGTTCGGGTCAATGTGAATGTCAACCATTGACAGGAGATATACTGTGTGTGAAAATTAAAGAGCCAGAGTAGATCTAGAACAATACCAATGATTCGTACAAAAGAGATGAAAGAGATGATAGAAACTTTGTTGGAACACACATGCAAACGCCTGCATGTACATGCACTAAAACATCAGAACATATGAGCTAGTCACAAACTGATCTTTAATTGCCGCCAAATGAGATCCGGCCCAGTCTCCGTGGTATTTATGTGGTGACAGTGAAGATTTGCCATTAGCCGTAAGTTCTGCACACAAAACACTCTCCGGGCCTCATGCGATGAGAGCAGAGCTTTAAGATACGACAGGCCGTTTTCGGAAATATTCATAATAGCTATAAAATTGATTTGCAGGCTTTCGGTACGCGCCTACAATTTTCCTGCAGTTAATGCTATTACCTGTCTGGAAATATCGTGCATAATGGATGCCTGGTCCCCGGGGACAACATTAAAATTTGAAGTGATAACAAATACAAGAATCCGATTTGGCAGGGACAATTCCGACATCCAGTGTTTTAACCTGCCGACCCCAGATTAACGGCGTTTGGATGCACCTATAGGGATCAACTCATAACAAGGGAGCAGCTCAAAATTTAGCCCAACAGGCATTAGTTCACTTATTGTGAGGCGGCCACACATTTTTTTTGACGAATATTTCAAAAAGCCATATCACTTATTTGTCTGGAATGGACTCCTAGAAGCTGTCAAATTGTAAAGGCTGAAATACAACTTAATTCATACAAATATTAATAAATCATGACTGACTAGTCACATCCAAATGTAGACTATTTCAAAATGTACCAGTACCAAATCTGCTGAAATAATATTTCAATCCGAAATTGTAACATTCCTATACAAACATCATCTTCACAATATAATTTCACCTGTTCTGGATAGTTAAAAGGCGCCCCTAAACGATTGAAAGTATAACTGCAGTACGAAGAGATCGAAACTCTGCTTGGGCAGTTGAAAAGCGCCCCTAAACGATTCAAAATATTATTGCAGCTACCGATATAACAGGAATGTTCAGCATTTCATATCTATTGATACATGTAGTTATATGGTTAGGGTGAGAGAAGAAATTGCCTAGTTGACAACTTGGAATTATGGTGCTGTTAACTTAGCTCTTTCCTGAAAAATCTACTTCCCAATCTATACCAAGAGTTAATTATAAGGCCTTAGTAAGTAAATTATGGATGACATCCTCAGCAGACTCCAAATCTAATGCTAGCGGGCGAAAAAAAAGGCGAGCTATTAAAACAAACAAGATTCCTACATGTTCAAATTTTTTCCAATTCAAATTCTTTATTTCCATACCAACATTACAGACATACAATATGGAATTATAATGGCAAGCTATTAAAACAAACAAGATTCCTACATTTTCAATTTTTTTCCAATTCAAATTCTTTATTTCCATACCAACATTACAGACATACAATATGGAATTATAATGGCAAGCTATTAAAACAAACAAGATTCCTACATTTTCAAATTTTTTTCCAATTCAAATTCTTTATTTCCATACCAACATTACAGACATACAATATGGAATTATAATGGCAAGCTATTAAAACAAACAAGATTCCTACATTTTCAAATTTTTTCCAATTCAAATTCTTTGTTTCCATACCAACATTACAGACATACAATATGGAATTATAATGGCAAGCTATTAAAACAAACAAGATTCCTACATTTTCAAATTTTTTCCAATTCAAATTCTTTATTTCCATACCAACATTACAGACATACAATATGGAATTATAATGGCAAGCTATTAAAACAAACAAGATTCCTACACTTTCAAATTTTTTCCAATTCAAATTCTTTATTTCCATACCAACATTACAGACATACAATATGGAATTATAATGGCAAGTAAATGGCATTGGTATTGGCATTTTGCATTATAAACCTTGTTAAGCAAGAAATTATACCTGATATTGTGGTAGCCTGGCCTGACAGGCACCCGGTTTTTTCCGTAAACCCTGTTGTTACTTTTTCTTAATCCTCAGAAAATGTATGTGACTTGATGAAAGATATTGTTGATATACAGGCTTCAATGTACTATATACTGTATATATGTACTAAAATACATCAATCCCTCGCTTTTCCATGGGTGTTCCGTTGTGTCAAACAAAACGTCTAGTACAGTAAGTATTGAGACCACAACTGCAATACTTAATACATGGAACTGATGGTAATTTCAGCACCAAGGAGAGGTCCACATTGGTAATGTACATTGACAGGAGGGGGGGTGATATCCACAAGTTTGGGGATATAAACACTTGCTGTGGCAGAAGGTATTCTGATCGTTGGGTTTGGCACAGAAAACAAGTCCAAAATTGGTCGACAAGAATAATTAGTTTTGATTGGTCGGGGAATGGTGATGGTTAATTATCAAAAGCAATAATGATTAATCTCATTGGCACCCCTATACAATTATCACACATGGTACGCTCCGTTCGACCAGCTGCAAGCTAGTGTGACCACGCTTTCGTGTGGCGTGTTGTGTGTGAATTCTCTCCAACTTTTGGGGTAAATTTTCGGCTTTTTGTCCCCAAATTATCCGTCTCAAGTGTACAGTTTATCGTTTGGGCGTTTCCAGGTCGGATGTGTGCCGTTTTTTGGATGTTTGAGGGAGAAAATTCGTCAAAGTTTCCTTGCGTTGGCGGGCGGAGTTCGGAGACTGGAAACGAAAATGGGCCGAAAATGGCGACTACCATGTGGCGGCGTGGCGTGGTGCTGAAAAAGACTCGTTCTTGCGAGGTAAGCCAACAAATTAGCTCCTTGAATGTACATGTTTGTACTTCTAACAAACCTGTAGCAACAGACCACGTTATAATTAGTTATTTTAAACGTCATATTCCGTAGAAATTTGCGTTTTCTGGAACGATATGTTGCACACATATAATATTTGTGGGCCATTTTGTACTTGAATATTTTTAATAGGGAGGTTGTTTTCCTGACTATCGTGGTTTTGGGGAACACTGAATATATTTCTTCCTTGTTGAGTGGCATTGAAAAAAGCTAGGAGCACATTTCGCTGCTAAAACTGTTACAAACACGTTTTTGTTGTTGGACTTTTCCACAGTTTGGCCCAGTGAACACCTTTTGGAACGTACCGCACGTGTGCATAATTAAACCCACTCAACGTTCCCGCCAAAAAAGTGGCGTAAACAAGACTTCCCAAGGCTTAAATTAATCGGGTGCATATCTCATTTAATTCTGAAGTTCTGAGCACCCAAAATTAAATCTGTGCACAAGTGAAAATACATGTAGTTTAATTTCGGTTTTGTTGCTGGTTTATCCTTGCTTTTGAATCAGATGTTGTCACATAATTTTGGTATTTTACTGGATTTTATACTTCATTGCCAAATTACATTTGTATGAAGCAGTCACTGTGGTTGCACTGATTTGATTTTGAGGATGAACTATGCAAGCTTGGTCCTTATTGTATCATTTATAGTATGTGTTAGTACTAATATCTTAGAGTAGAGTTAGTAGATGTGTAGGAGCTAGAGTTCCAGTTTAGGCCGCTCTTCTCTTTCAGTCTCAGTGCACAGACATCTCTGGTTTCTGGGGATGATCCAGAGCTCTGTATAGTCGAACATCAGATTCTTCTCTTTTCATATATAAATCCAGCCTTTCCTTAAAAGCATTCACACTAGGTGACATCACCACAAACTCTGGGAGGTTGTTCCACCATACTTCCATTCTGTTGGCAAAAAAGCAAGCCCTTTTGTTGCCATTTGCTGCTTTCCTTGCTACCCATAGACAGTAACCCCTTGTTGTTCTGCCTGATTCCAGTTCAAAAGGTGACACAGTTCTATATTTTCCGTGAATGAACTTGTATGTGTTGATCAGGTCTGAGCCTTCTGCATACTAGCATGGGTAGTCCAAGTACTGGTAGTAGTACTGTACTTTAAGTCTGTCAGCGTAAGGTAGGTCCCTGAGCCCAGGTACCCTCTTTGTTGCTCGTTTTTGGACCTTTTCCAGGTTTACTGCCAGATTTCATGTGTGCAGTGACCATACCCATTCATCGGGGAGTATGCCTTCATTTAAAGACTT